GTCGATGTTTCTCTCTCTCTTTGTTCCTCTCTCTCCCTCCCACTCTACCTGAACAAAAAAATGGAAAACTGTCCTCGGGTGAGGATAAAAAAAAAAAAAAAAAAAAAAAAGATCATTTTAAAAAATAAATAACTGTATGCTACCATTTCATTTTAGAAAATTTAAAAAAAAATAGAGAGAGAAGACATCACCAAAAATGGCAGAATATAGAGCTCAAAGGTTCCATGTCCAAAAACTGTCAGAATCAACTTTTGCAGAACTACAGAATCTAACCCAAAACTTCCCAACAACCAGGGAAAGACTTGAAAAGAGACACTCATTCGTTGTAGTAAGAGAGTGCTATGGTGTTATAAATTGCCAGCTCACCATCAACACCCTAAATCAGCTGGTGAAGGTTGCTAGTACCAGAAGGAGCATTATTGACCTTATTTTCAAAGAATTGTGGCTGTAGGTCTCAACCTGTTTAACAGATTCTCCTCAAGGACAAGCACAAAGGTTTTTCTTTGTTTTTCTGACTTAGAGCATTCCCAAGAGTGGAGTGGCTTTTGCCACAGTAGCCTGGGGCAAAGGATAACATTCAAGACAAACAATAACAGAATGAGAAGCCTGGGAGGAAGAAGCTGGGGGAAAAAAATACAGGGGGAAATCAGGGCGTTTTAAAGTTCACCAATATACATGGGGATTGAGAAGCCCACACATATGCCCAGAGTGTGATGCATGTGCTTTAAAGACCTTAGGAGATCCAAAGCTCTCGTCTCTGCCTGACTTTCAGACTCTGTGCAAGTAGGAAGTGAAAACTATTGAAGAGCTGTAAATGGCCTGGCTAAGCCTAGAATGAGTTCCCTGGCACAGACCAATTTGCAAAGACTTGAAGAATCTTCTTTTTTACTTTTACTGACTCCAGGTATTGAAAGTACTTGTCAAAACACCAGCTAAACCCTGGCCAGTTTGGCTCAGCGGTTAGAGCATCCACCTGTGGTCCAGAGAGACCCGGGTTCAGTTCCCGCTGAGGGTGCGTACCTTGGTTGCAGTTTGTCCCCAGCCCTGGTTGGTCGTACAGGTGGCAGCCACTCGATGTGTCCTTTTCACTTTTCATGTCGATGTCTCTCTCTCTCTCCCTCCCACTCTATCTGAACAAAAAAATGGAAAAATAATCTCGAGTGAGGATAAAAAACAAACAAACACCAGCTGACTGCTAAACTCTGGCAACACAGACTTCAGTGGACACACATAATAAAGAATGGGGACTTTACTAAATAGTAATCGTTCAGACAAGTCAATAAACGGACAACACACAACAACCAGCAACAACAAATCCTGAAAGGTAAGAATATGATTCCCACATTATAATATTCAAAATATCCAGTTTCAACAACAACAAAAATTGAGGCATGCAAAGAAAGTATGGCCTATTCACAGGAAAAAATCAATTAATAAAATCTGTTCTTGCTCTGGATGGGGGGCTCAGTTGGTGAATGTTGTGGTCCTGTACACAAAAAGGTTGCAGGTAAAAGTTTCGGTCAATGGACACACCTAGGTAGGTTTTGGGTTCAATCCCTGGTCGGGGCACATACATGAGGCAACTAATCAATTTTTTTTTCTCTTTCTCCTTTCCTCTGTCTCTAAAAATAAATTTAAAAAATATATCCTGCCCTGGCCAGTTTGGCTCAGTGGTTATAGTATCGGCCTGTGGTCCAGAGAGACCAGGTTCAGTTCCTGCTAAGGGCATGTACCTCGGTTGCAGTTTGTCCCCAACCCTGGTTGGGTCGTGCGGGTGGCAGGCACTCGATGTGTCCCTTTCACATCAATGTCTCTCTCTCTCTCTCTCTCTCTCTCTCTCTCTTTCTCTCTCTCTCTTCCACTCTATCTGAACAAAAAATGGAAAAAATATCCTTGGGTTAGGATAAAATATATATATATATATATATATATATATATATATATATATATATCTCCTCAGGTGAGGATTAAAAATAAAATAAAAAAACTGTCCCTAAGGAAACCCAGACAGTGGACATACTAGTCAAAGACTTTCAATCAACTGCCTTTAATATGGTCAAAGAACTAAAGGAAATCATAGACAAATAACTAAAATAAGCCAGCCCTGGCTGATTTGACTTAGCGGTTAGAGCATTGGCCCTTGGACCAAAGGGACTCATGTTCTGGTCAAGAGCACATACCTGAGTTGTAGGTTTGATCCCCAGCCCAGGTCGGGGTCATTCGGGAGGCAATCAATTCATGTGTCTCTCTCACATCTCTCTCTCTCTCTCTCTCAAAAACTCAAAGGAAAATATCCTCGGGTGAGGATTAACAAAAAAGGATAAATAAAATAAACCAGAAGAATTATGTCTCACCAGATAGGAAATATCAATAAACATGAGGAAATTATTAAAATGTACCAATACAAACTCTGGAGCTGAAAAGCACAGTAGCTGAAATGAAAAATTCAGAAGGTTCAACATCAACCAGTGCACTGCCAGTGGGAATGCAGACTGGTGCAGCCACTATGGAAAACAATATGGTGTTACCTTAAAAAATTAAAAATTGAGCTTTCATTTGACCCAGTGATCCCGCTTCTAGGAATATACCCTAAGAAGCCTGAAACACCAATCAGAAAGAATATATGTACCCCCATGTTCATAGCAGCACTATTTACAATAGCTAAGATCTGGAAACAGCCCAAGTGGCCATCAGTAGACGAATGGATAAAAAAGCAATGGTACATATACACAATGGAGTACTATGCAGCTGTAAGAAAGAAAAACCTCTTATCCTTTGAGACAACATGGAGGGAACTGGAAAGTATTATCCTAAGTGAAACAAGCCAAGCAGAAAAAGACAAATACCACATGATCTCACTTATATATGGAATATAATGAATATAACAGTCTGAGGAATAGGGTAGACCCAGAAACACGGAAGTAGGGTACAGACTGACAACCCTCAGAAGAGGAGGTGGTGGCAGGTGGGAAGAGATAAACCATAGAACTTATATGCATGTATGCATAACCAAGGGACATGGACAACAAAGCAGGAGCTTGGGTGGGGGGGATGGGGAGGAGGGTGTCAGTGGGGTGAAAAAGGAGAAACATCTGTAACAAAAATAAAATTAAAAAATAAAATAAATTAAAAAATCAGATGTGAACAGGTAGAAGAAAGAAACACGTAACTTTCAGATAAGTCGATTGAATTTATGAACTCTGAGGAGCAGAATGAGAAAGAAAAGAGAGAGAAAGGAGCAGAAATATTATTTGAAGAAGTGATGGACAAAACTTTAAAATTTAAGGGAAGTCACAAATATAAACATCCAAGAAGCTCGACAAATCCTAAGCAGAATACTCTTACGGAGACACATTTTAATCATATTGTCAAAGCCAAAAATAAAGAGTGTCTTGAAAGAAGCATTAGGTATGAGGTCTCATTTGAATCCTAATCCAAACAAACTTAGAAAAAGAGAGAAAGAATTGGAAACTTGAACAAGCATTACATAACATGATATTAAGGAACTATTAATTTTAGGTGTGATAATAATACTGTGGTTTTACATGGAAAAGAAGGTCCTTGTAAATATGCACTTTGAAACCTTATGCACAAAGTGATATTACGTATGGGATTTACTTTAAAAATCATCTCTAAAGGTGGGAAATGGGTAAGGATATAGATAAAATAAGATTGACGATAAGTTGTTAACTGTGAACAACACATTTGCTTTCATTATATAGTGGGTTCTCTATATCCATGGTTCTGCATCCTCATTGCAGATCAAGAATATTTTTTAAAATTGATGTTGCTGATGACATGTACTTTGTTGTTAGGACTATGATAGGTGTATCTGAATATGTACAGACTTTTTTCCTTGTTATTTCCTAAACAACACAGTATAAACTATTTGTATAACATTTACAGTATTACATTTTATAACTAATCTAGGGATAATTTAAAGTATTTGGGAGGGTATATGTAGGTTATATGCAAATACCATGTCATTTTATATAAGGGACTTGAGCATCCTGGAGTTTTAGTATCCCCTGGGGTCCCGGACCAATTCCCCATGGATATCCAGGGAGGATTGTACTATTCTATTTTTTTTTAATATGTTTGAAATTTTCCATTAAAAAAGTTATTATAAAGTTAATGTAAACTATATAAAGAGAATGGATTTTAAACAAAAAAGGAATGAACAAAGGTATTAAGGATAATTAGAAAAAAATCCATGTCCTTGACTCATTTCCTGTCCCCCCATGCATTTTTTTTTTTATCCTCACCCGAGGACATTTTTCTATTTTTTGTACAGATAGAGTGGGAGGGAGAGAGAGGAAGAGAGAGAGAGAGAGGGAAACATCGATGTGAAAGGGACACATCAAGTGGCTGCCACCCGCACGACCAACCAGGGCCGGGGACAAACTGCAACCGAGGTACGTGCCCTTAGCGGGAACTGAACCCGGGTCTCTCCGGACCGCAGGTGGACGCTCCAACCACTGAGCCAAACGGGCCAGGGCCCCCCATGCATTTTTGTTAAAAGAAAATGGTAGGCTTTGCCAGCAAAGTGGATCAGAGTTTGGGAGTACAGTAGATGTTGCATATTGCTCATCGTAGATATTCTTGAATAAATTTTGTTTTGTTTTTAAATATTGCACTAAAATGGAATTCATCTTCAACACTGGGGGGTTTTTTTTTGCATCACCTTATATTTCACAAGTGAGTCCTGGCGGGGGCAGGGGTGTATACAAGTGGGAAGAAGCAAGTCCCCAGAGAAGCACTGGGAATGGCCACCAGGCCCCTGAGTAGATAACCAGCAAAGGCCCAGGACTACACAAAGAAAGGACATCAACAGAGCCCATGCTCACGTTGTTAAAGGGACGCGGGGGCGGGGGCAGGGGTGGGTTGCAGGCTCCAGGCTCTGCGTGACCCCGCGCAGCAGGAGGGGGCGGGGCCGGGGCGGGGCCGCTCCTGTGACGAAGGCCTCACGTGACTGCCCTACATAGACCTGCGCGCGCCAGGCTCGAGCGCCAGACCCGGCGATCCCTGCATCCTTCCCGCTCGCTGCTCCAGGTGGCCCTGAGGGCGCACAGGCCAGGGGAGCCCCCAGCAAAGGAGGCGGAGGGAGAGCAGGTAAGGGACTGGGAGCGGCTCCCTGGGCGTGGTGTGCAGAGTGGGCCTGGCTGGCGGAGCCCTCCGGGGGATCGGGCTGCCCCGGGCGAAGCCACGCAGGGACCGCAGCTCCCACGCCGCGGCCCCGGGTGCGTCTGCAGAAAACGCTGAGCTTTTCCCGGGGGAGGGCTGGATGGCCCAAGGCGACGACCCTTCGGAAACACCTGCCTCCCGGCCCCCCGCCCCGCCCCCATCTTTCTCGGTGTGGAAAATGGTGGTCAGCGCGGGGCCGGGGCGGCTGGGGCGGGAGGCAGGGGGCGTGGGCGTGTGGGTTCAGGGCGGGCGGCGCGGCTGGGCGGGGGTCCGGGAAGGGTGGGCGCCGAGCGCTGGGCTGCAGCGTCCCCCGCCCCCCGCCCCCCGCCCCCCGCCCCCCGCCCGGCCCTCTGCAGGTCTTCGGGTCCCAGTGTCGCGGCGGCGCACTCGCGGCGAGAATCGGGAGGAGGAGCAGACAGCAAGGATAGGCCCAGGTGGGTGCGGGGTGCAGGGGTGGGGGGCGGGGAACGAGTGGAAAGCCCTGAGACCTCGAATGCTTACACCCACCTCGACCTCGTCCTCTGGGCTTGGATCGCAGGGAAAATGGTGGGTTTGGGGCGAGGGAGGGGAGGGGAGGGGAGTCAGAGGGAGGGGGCAGGGCTGGGACTGGAGGCCCCCTAGAGGGCGTAGGGAGCCTCTCGAGCGTGAAAAGTGCAATTTTAAAAGGCCTTTGAACTCCAGGGCTCTGAATCGTGAAAGGTGCGTAGTAGGTCTTCTGTCCTCGGTGCTCATTAGTTCACCATTACAATAGTCCCTCTATCTCTTGTCTCCTAGGAGCAATGGCGTCCAAAGAGGAACAAGCAGTAAAAAATCTCAACATGGAAAATGCCCAACAGGAAAACGAAGGAGAGAATGAGGCCCCTGTGCAAAATGAGGAGGAACCACGCAATTTGGGAGGAGGCGAAGCCCAGAAGCCTGGAGGAAATGTCAAGCTGGGGTGGGTTAAGCGACTTGTCCCTAATTTTAGATGGGCCATGTCTAACAAACGTGTTGATCACAATGAAGTGGGAGATGATGCAGAAAAGATCGCAATGCAGCGGATGGAAATCAGGAGAAAGACTAGGGAGCAGCAAATGAGACATGATAAGCGCTTCCAAACTCCTGAACCTGATAATCATTATGACTTTTGCCTTATACCTTGAATCCTAAGGTTTTTCCCTGAGGTTAATAATGCGGCCTCTGCTTGAAAAGCTAGTAGTTTTGTGATTTACTTTTCAACAGGCCTTTTAGTGTTTCCTCTTAATAGTTTCTAATCGAATATTATTTTTCTCTCAGTGTAAAACTCTTTGTCCAGCAGGACAATTTCACCCAGTTTTTAGAAAAAAAATATTCTTTTCATGATGTGAAATTAATAAAGCAGTTTAAAAAATCAATCTTCCTCTTTCATTCTAGTTTTTATTTTTTGTGAATATTACCTTTCCTCCCCCAACTACCTGGGCTCAAAATCTCATTACACTTTGACTACATTTTCTGGTCCCCCAATCAGTAAGAAGGGATCCTTCTCATAATTCAACATCAGATACCATTTTAAGAATGTATTTTCTACTGTTTTTCAAACAGTGCGAGTTCATCATCTGCATAAAAAACACTTTGGTGGGGGAACTTTTTGAGAATGTAGGACCTCTGGCTTCTATCCTCCAGACCCACAAAGGAATAGAACAAAAAATATCAGAATCCATCACTGATAAGTAGTGTTAAGAATTATTTTGAGCCCTGGCAGGTTTGGTTCAGCGGTTAGAGCATCGACCTGTGGCCCAGAGTCTCAGGTTTGATTCCGGTCAAGGGCCCATTCCTCGGTTGTGGTTCAGTCCCCTGCCCTGGCCAGGGTCATGCGGGAGGCAACTGATCAATGTGTCTCTTCTCTTTCTCTTTCTCAATCCCTCTCTCCCACTCTATCTGAAGATAAATGGAAAAATAACCTCTGGTGAGGATTAAAACAAAAAAAAAGAATTATTTTGAAAAACATGTTTTAGTTTTACATGTAAGAAATATTGTCACCTTTTAAAAGGTATTTTAAGAAGTATTTCTAATTGTAGGTCATAGGATAAAAAAAAAATGAAGGTCACTTTTTCAATCCAAACTTCATTTCACAAATAAGGAAACGATAGGAAATTGATTTTACTAAGGTCATACAGCCAGTTAGTGGTAGAGCTGGGACCACAGTTTCCATTTTAGGGTGCTTGTCTGCTCACTACAGTGCCTCCACGAGGTGTGATTTGGAAATTCTTGCTGTGTGTACTGATTGCCAGTGGTGTGTATAAACAAATGTGCAACTTACACAAAAGTCACTGTTTATTTAATGTTCAAACTTTAGTCATCAGAGTCTCTGCATGTTCAATTGAGAAACATGTTTAAGGAGGACTCTGGGCCCCTTATAAAATTTTGGACATAGAATGATCTTTCATCCTTTTTGTAGATAGAAGAAGGGGATGATGGAGAGTGATCTGAAAATGTAAGGTGGTTAACTCATAAACACTTCTTAAGGGGTAGGTGATTGATGTTCATGAATGGGCTTTTGTTCACTCTGAAAATCAGTACCATACCTTCTATACCAATCCTAGATTTCCCAAAATAGCCTCAATTTTTAAAAAAAATTTGGGGATAGAAGGTGAGATCAGAACTCGACTTGTAAAAGTACTGAAGGAAGCCTCACCAAGGTTTTTGAGTGATGATGGGGATAAAAACAGACTTTCTGGAAGAAATAAGGCTCAGTGTTGGGGTTTAGAATATGGTGTTTTTGAAGATCTGAAATAAATTCCCTCCCCTTGGTGTTCCTGAGGGAGTGGGATGATAATGGTCAGAACTTTCAGGAAGTGGTAAAGGTCAGAGAACAATGTCACAATGTGATTGGTTGAAAGAGAACCAAATTAAGACCCCCTTTCTGGATATTTATCTGATGGTGGTGGATGAGCACAAAACTTTCTAGAAGCAGTAAAATTCAGGGACCATGATCAGAACATAATTGAAGGCGAAATGAAGAAAGCACCCTTTCTTGGGTGTTTCTGGAAGGGTGGAAAAGTGAGGACAGAACTTTGTGGAAAAAGTAAAAGTCAAGGGTCCAAGTCAAAAGGTGATTGAAGGAGAGCTGAGTTACCACAGTGAAGACTTTTATTAATTTATACATCTCATGGGAGTATCAACTTTTTCTGATCTTGGTGGGCAGTACATTCTGAGCTTTTAAGGAGATGATAGAGAGATGTCATTGAGAGTGTCACTAAAGAGACCTGTTAGAAAATGAAATGAATCTCTTATGGAAAAAAAAAAAGTGAATCAACCAGGAACAACAAAAGGAACTAACACATTCATCCCTATTAGTCATTTATATATTCATGTTGGTAATTTTTTTAGTTTTTTGAAGAAAAATATGTTTTTATAGATTTTGAAGCAAGGCTTGGGATAGAGACCTAGTAATTAACAAGAAAAAAATCTCTCAGGAGTCAGACTTTCAGTAGCATATGCTATTGTCTTCAAATACAGAAAAGGAAGATATGTGGAAGAGTCTAAAGAGGTCAGCAAGGGAAAAAATGAATTTACAATGAAAAAAGTAAAAACAAACAAAATATGAGAATAAAATACCAAAACACATCACTTTTAGTCCTTTCAGCCTGTATCTACATGTGAGTAAGCATTTCAGCTTTGTTAAAGTACAATTAAAGTTTTAAACATATCTAAAGCATTCGACTTTATCTGTTTTACATATATTTAAGCCTATGAAGCCATGACCATAATCAAAACAATAAACACTTCCATCACCTCAAAAAGTTTCTTTGTTGCCATTTGTAATCTATCCCTCCTTCAATCCTCAATCCCTGGCAATCTCTAATCTACTTTCTGTCACTATAGTGTGCATTTGATAATATTTTTATATAAATTGGATCATAAGCATACACTCTCATTTTTGTCTGGCTTTATTTATTAAATATAATGATTTTGCATGCAATAATAGCATATTCTTTTCTATTGCTGAGTAGTATTCCATGATTTGGTAAATGTTTAACCTTTTATCTGTTGATGGCTATTTAGATATTTTTCATTTGGGGGCTATTATGAATAAAGCTGATATTGAACATACACATGCAATTTTTTAGGTAGATGTATGTTTTTATTTTTCTTGAGTAAATACCTAGGGATGGAATGGCTATATTGTATGGAAGTTGTAAGTTTAATTTTTAAGAAATTTACAAACTGTCTTTTCCAAGGGAGTTTCACCATTTTGCATTTTTATCAGTAGAGAATTGGAGTTCCAATTTCCCCTCATCCTTACCAATACTTAGAATGGTCAAGGTATTTTTGCTAATATTTTTAAATTGTAACCATTCTAAAGGGTGCATAGTGGTATCTTGTAGATCTAATTTCTGTTTCTCTGATGACTAATGATGTTCGGCATCTTTACATGTACTCATTGGCTATTCATATATATACATACATACATATATATTTTTTTTAGTCCTCACTCAAGGATATTTTTTTATATTCAGATAGAATGGGAGGGAAAGAGAGAGAAAGAGATAAACATTGATGTGAAAGAGACACATCGACCAGTTGCCTCTCACATGATCTGACCAGGGCTAGGGACCAAACTGCAATGCCCCTGACCAAAATTGAACCCACGACTCTTTGGTCCATGGGCTGATGCTACAACCGCTGAGCCAAACCGGCTAGGGTTATTTTTTTGTAAAATAATCTGTTCAGATATTTTGTTCTTTTTAAATTTGGTTGTTTGTCCTCTTATTACTGAGTTGCAACAGTTTTTTTTATAAAATCTACATTTGATTTCTTTGATATATGGTTTGTGAATTTCCTCTGTCCTGACTTACCTTTTCATTTACTTAGTGATTTCAAAAAACAAAAGTTTTACATTTTTATGAAGTTCATTTAACCCACTTCTTATTTTATAATTGTGTTCTTTTTAAGAAATGTTCTGACTAAGCCAATGTTACAAATATTTGCTATATTTTCTTCTGATAATTTTATACTTTAAGCTTTTCATTTTGGTCTATGAACCATTTCAAGTTAATTTTTGTGTACAGTATGAGGTAAACTATGGTGTTCATTTTGTTCCATTTTGATATCCAATTAATACAGCACCATTTGTTGAAAATACTTTTCTTTCTCCATTGTATATATAGCCTTTGTACCTTTGCCAAAAATCAAGTGCTCATACATATGTAGCTCTGTTTCTATACTCTCTGTTCTTTTTCATTGATCTAGATGTCTATCTCTTCACCAATACCCAACTGTCTTGATTATTGTAGCCTTATAGTAAGTCTTGAAAGTAAGTAGGGAAAGTTCTTTCAAATTTGTTCTTCTCTATTAAAATTGCTTTAGATAGCCCTGGCCAGTTTTGCTCAGCAGTTAGAGTCTGGTCATGGGCACCTTACGGATTCCCAGCCCTGGTTGGGGTTGTTCGAGAGGCAACCTATCTATGTGACACATCGATGTTTCTCTTTCTCTCTCTCTCTCTCTCTCTCTCTCTCTCTCTCTCTCTCTCTCTCTCCCTCCCTTCCACTCTATCTGAAAATCAATGGAAAAATATCCTTGGGTGAGGATTTTAAAAAATAAAAATAAATAATTGCTTTAGATAGTTTAGGTCCTTTGAATTTTCATATAAATTTTTTAAGCCTGCAGGAATTTTTATCAGGAATCTGTAAACAAATTTGGTGAGAATAGCTATATTAATAGAGTCTTTCAATACATGAACCTTGTATATCTTCCATTCAGATCTTATTCAGTTCTCTCAGCAACATTTTACAGTTGTCCTTGTGGAGGTCTTAGAAATATTTTATTGGATTTACTCATAGGTATTTTATGGGTTTTGTTGCTGCTGTAAATTGAATGTGTTTTGTTTTGTTTGTTTGTTTAAAATTTATCTTTATTGTTGAATGTATTACAGATGTCCCTATTTTTTCCCCTCTTGACCCTCTCCTCCCCAATCCCACCTCCCTCCTGCCTTCCCCACACTATTGTCAGTGTCCACTAGTTATGCATATATGCATAGAAGTTCTTTGGTTTATCTCCTCCTTCCCTCCCTCCCCCTTCCCTTTGAGGTCCATTAGTCTAACAACCAATTTGTATTTCTTAATTCTTTCATCTTCTTCACCCATCCTCCCAGCCCTCTCCCATCTGGCAAACAACAAAAAGTTCTCTGTATCTATGAGTCTGCTTCTGTTCTACTTGCTCTTTCTGTTTGTAGATTCAATTATTGATAGATATGTATTTATTGCCATTTTATTGTTCATATTTTTGTTCTTCAAGGAAACCTTTTAATATTTCATATAATACTGATTTGGTGGTGATGAACTCCTTTAGCTTTTTTTGTATGGAACATTCTTGATATGTTCATCGATTCTAAATGATAGCTTTGCAGGATAGC